GTTGGCGGTAATAAAGAGTCAAAATCAAAATGGAGAAAAGAACAAAAAGCGTACGTTAGTTGTCAGTTATAAATTAAATCCAATTTATTTGCGAATATTTGTTTATTCTATTTATTGAAAGGCAACCACGCGGAAAAGTTTGCATTAATTATATTGATAACAGAACCTGGCAGCTCGCACGTTGTCTAAATTCTCAAGTAACATAAAATCCACAAAAGAATACATTGCTTGTATTACCATCAATACGCCATGTATAAATTTTAACAACACACAAAAATAGAGCTTTCGCACGAGCGTTTGTTTGTTTTTTCAACACCATTTATAATTTTCTTTTAATAAAATCACGATTTGTCATATGCTTAAATTTATTTATCTAATAATAATGCAGCACACAACCCTGAAGTCTAAGAAAAAGTCTGAGGAAGGCCATTAGATAGCAGCACACAACCCCGTGCCTTCCTCAGGAGTGAATATAACTACAAAAACAACGACTACTACAACAACAACCCAAAAAGGTTGGTTACTGTCTATACTGTGCTCGCTGATCAAAAGGGAATGAACCAATTTTATAATAAACAAGCACATGATGAGTGTTTTTTTAATTCCTTTCCACTTTGTTTTCCTTCATTCAGCTATCTTCGAAAAACAACTGTTAGCTGGCAATGCTGCACATGTTTCCGCAAGGGTTGCAGCATGTGGATTTTTCGCTTTTCGTAGCGTAGCTACGAATTACGAATTACGAAAATTCGGGTTCTAGAATAAGGGGGTCTCTTAAAAACACTAAATTTGATTTATTTAAGGAAATTTGTATGAATTTTACTGAAAAGACTTGGGGATCTAATGGGGGAGTGAAGTGAATCTATAACCTATCCTTCCCAAACGACAACCTCACCCACTGCCCGTCAAGGCGTGGTGGTCCCTGTTATCGCTAACGAGGCTCTTTCGACCGGTGCGAGGCGGTATATCCTCGCTCAAGGCTGAGCTCCCGTAGTGAGGACTGGACCCGGACTGTACGTGACGTGCATCGACTAACGCTCAGGACGACCAGAACGTGATGACGAGTGGACCACTACGTACGGGACCCCAATCTTCGCGTTTGAAAACGCACCAACAAATCCAGAAGCGTCTGTTCCCCAGTGGGGCGGCTCCCTGGTCTGCGTCTGACCCATAGTGGGCGGCAGGACAACCTTCACCTGGCAGTAGGTATAAAATGCAACCCCCCCCCCCCGGAATTTCTACTCAGCCCGGACCTCAGTATCCGGCAAAGGAGGAGTATCCCCGGAGACTCTATCGTTGGAGTGGTGACCACAGGCACCAGCGATCGAAATTCTACTGTTGACCCTATCATCCAGGTGTCTGCCCCGGGCTTGGATGATAGGCGAGCTACTGAGGCAAAAACATTGGCAAGGCAACAGAGGTGCCAATCCGAAAGTGACGAGTCGGGCTCCCAGGATCTTCAAATCCACTCACACTAGATGAGGAGGATCGCGACGGGGCGGATTCCCTCGCACTGAGCCAGCTCAGTCTGGGGTCTGATGATTCTGAGAGACCAGCTGCAACCGAACTAAGGAGCCTCAAGGCAATGCCAAGCACGACAAGGAGAAGGACAAAGAGCGGAAGAGAAAGGTGGGGTACAAAAGCTCTCGTCGATTCATCGCGAAACTGCGAGATCGCGACCCCGCCACTCTAACGCCAAGGGACAAGGCTCTTCAAAAGAAGCATGCCTACATTGTCCGGAAGTATGAGCGACTCCGCGAGGAGAAAGTCTCGAATGCTTCCGGAAGTGTGGCCGCGGTCTCTGGAAAAGCCACCAACTCCGAAAAAAGGGACGCTGTAACCAAACCCCCCTCTGAGGCCGGTAGCAGTCTGCCGACGAAGAAAGCTGCTCCCCTGTCCGCTGTTGGAAACAACAAGCCGTCGCAATCACTGACGCCCAAGGTGCCGAAGACCGCGAGGCCAGTGTTCCCACGGCTGGACGGGGAGAAGGCCTCGACGTCGGCAGCTGCTATTGCCTCCGGTGGTAAGGGACCGGTTACACGCACTCCAAAGAGACAACTGTCTGGCGACAAGAAGACACAGCCTGAGCAGAAGCGGGTGAAAACTTCATCGACCTTATGCTCAGCACCAGAGCTCTAGGTATCAGCACCATAGACCGGATTCACCCGGAAGGAAAGATTCCGACGGAAAAATGGTTGCTCCTGGAACTTGGCGAAATCCAGCGTACCAAAAACAACAACATTGCTATGTTTGCTGGAGCCAAGTGGCAAAAGGGAGTCAAAGGAGTCGTTAGACTTCCTAACAAACTGCGTCCGCAACCAAGATGAACTTTGGGCCAACGCACGACTAGTTGTTCCGCTCTCAGAGGTGCCATCCCGTACGACAGTGCGAGTGTGGATCCCGCCCCCCCTCGTGGAGGACGAGACCTCACTAGCCCTAATCAAATGTAAGAACGTGGATGTCATCCCTGACGACTGGACGATTGTCCGAGGCCGCGCTCGCGACAAGGGTTACGGCAAGGACCTTTGGATCAAGATCGGTCCACAAGCCTTGCAGATCCTCCGTCACAAAGCCGGCCAAATAAGATATGGCATCGGTCACCTTAGGGTGATCATCCCCGATGCTGAAAGAGAATCCTAAAAGCCTAAACGTGGTGCAGATTAATCTGCATCACTGCAGGGCAGCATCGGAGGATCTGCTGCTCTTCATGGGTGAGGAAGATGTGGACGTGGCCCTAATACAAGAACCCGGGCTAGTGGTGGTGAGGGTCACGGGTCTATCCACTAGCGACTTTCTACGTCTCACCCCACAGATCGAAGGTAAAATTAGAAGCTGTATTCTGGTTAAGAAAAGCACTAATATTCTCTTTCTTCCCGAATTTAGCGATTCGGACATGACAGTGGCAATGTTGGAGCAGAGGGGAGCACCCGACCTCATCCTCGTATCTTTATACATGCCATACGATGTACCCGATCCCCCGTCAATATCCTTCAGGAAACTCACCGCCTGGGCGGAGCAACGAAGGTTAAATATGGTGGCTGGCTGTGACGCCAACGCTCACCACACGGCGTGGAACAGCTCGAACATCAACGATAGAGGTGAGTCACTCTTTAGTTACTTATTATCCACAAAACTTACTATCTGTAACAAGGGTAATCACCCCACTTTCTACAACAGAATAAGGGAGGAGGTTATACATATAACTCTTGTAACTAACTCGAACAATGTTAGTGTTGACGGCTGGCACGTCTCGACAAAATGCTCTTTTTCTGATCATTGTCGCATCGTATTCTCCATTAACCTAAGCAGACCGACACTAAAACCTTATCTAAATCCAAAACAAACTGGAACAAATTCAGCCAGTTGGTGTCTGGAGCGAGTCCACCGTACACGGTGGAGCCAATTTCAGCGGACCAACTGGAGGGAGCGGTTCTCTGTCTAACGAAGTCTAAACGAATGTTACATAACAACCTATCCCGAGAGCAAACCTTCTAAGCGACACCCAAGGTGGTGAACGGCCGATTTAAGGCGGCTCAGGATAGCAGCTAGTAAAGCTTTCAATAAAGCAAAGTTCACTAAGAACGCGGAGGACTGAGACGAATATCGTCGCAACTTCAATGCGTTCAAGAAAGAGATAAAGAAAGCAAAGAAGGTTTCGTGGTCCAAATTTTGCGAGGACCTCGAAACGACTACTCATGCCTCGCGACTAAGAAGGTGCCTCTCGAAAAACCCGGCTCCTCCCGGTTTTCTTAAAAAGCCAGGAGGAGGGCACGCCGAAAGCAGCCTTGAAACACTGGAACACCTTATGGACGTCCACTTCCCAGGCTGCGGTGACGCAGGGCAAGGCAGTCCAGTGGACGAAATCATCACTACAGACAAAGTAGCTTGGGCTATCAGATCCTTCCAACCCTACAAACCTCCGGGACCGGATGGGATCTTTCCAACCATGCTACAACGAACAAGCGCCACGGTAACCCCTGGCTAACGACAATCTATAGGGCGAGGGGATAGGGTTCCCCTACTGTGGAACCTCGTGCTAAACGAATTCCTGCTCCGTACATCGAAAGCCGCTAAGGTCGCTGCTTACGCGGATGACGTACGTCATTCTGGTCGTGGAAAAATTCCTCTCCACGGTCAGCGAGATTCTACAATCTGCAATTAACGATCTGTCAGGGTGGGCAGAAAGAAACGGCCTAGGGGTCAATCCCACTAAAACCGAACTTGTTCTCTTCACCTAGCGATATAAAATAGACAATTTCCGACCTCCGTCCCTCAATGGAGCAAATCTCAAATTGTCAAAGGAAGCAAAGTTTTTGGGGGTTATTCTCGACTCTAAGCTTTCCTGGAAAAGGAACACCGAAGAGCGGAGAAAGAAGGCGGTCAACGCGCTCTACTCCTGCAAAGCTACTATTGGAAAAGACTGGGGTCTGCGACCTGCAGATAATACATTGGATTTATATAGCGGTAGTTAGACCTATCCTCACCTATGTCGCGCTGGTATGGTGGCAGGCGGTTGACACCAAATCCCATCTATTCAACTTGCAAAAGGTGCAACGACAAGCATGCTTATGCATAACGGGGGCGATTTATTGAAGGCCCCAGGCATCTCTAGAGACCCTGCTGGAAATTCCCCCTATAGACCTATATGTTAAAAGTATCGCAGCTAAAAGCGCTCTACGACTCAGAGCGTCTAACAGGCTGCGAACAACTTGCAAAGGTCACGCCACAATCCTCTGGAGAGAGGGGGTGGAATACAGCCGCTGTGACCATCAGGTCACGGAAATTGACTTCAATCGAAACATCGATATCCATTTTCCTGACAGAAGTGACTGGGAATTTGATATTGCTCTCAGCGATGACACGAAATACCCATCTTCACGGACGGCTCCAAAATGGATATGGGAACAGGGTCTGGGGTCTTCTCTCAGGAGCTATCTCTGAGCGAGTCGTATAGACTCCCAGACCACTGCAGTGTTTTTCAGGGTGAGATATATGCAATCCATATGGCGGCAAGGTTGGTGGGCATGATTGACTTAGCTCCATCTAAACCTGCCTTCGTTGTTGACAGTCAGGCGGCTATCAAAGCCTTAGGGTCGGCAACGACTAATTCGTTATGCGTTAAAGAATGCCGAAGATCCCTACAAGCTCTACAGCAACACATAATCAATCATTACTGGGTACCGGGACATTGTGGTGTCCCGGGAAATGAGGAAGCGGACGATTGTGCTAGGAAGGGATCTGAAATGGTGCTCGAGAAGCGACCCAAATCGTGAAACCCCCCCAGCGATTTCTGTCTTCAGAAGTCGAGAGACTGACCAGGGCAGCTACCAACAGTAGGTGGGTAAACCTTCACACGTGCAGGGTATCGCGATCATTCTGGCCACGGCTCGAAGAACGAAGAACAAGGAGTCTATTAAGGCTTTCAAAGTCAAACGTCAGGCTTCTCACAGGAATACTAACGGGACACTGGACCATTGGCCACATGGCTTCCAGGTTCGGAGCCCCGCATAATGATTTCTGTAGAAGCTGCAGGGATGAGGAGTTAGAATCCATCCAGCACTTCCTTTGCGAGTGTCCAGCACTTCGAGGAAAACGCCTCAAGTTTCTTGGGGACCATTTCTTCGATAATCTGGATATCTTGGAGAAAGCTCCTCTGGAAGGACTGCTAGGATTCGCCAGAAAATCAAAATGGTTCGAAGACATGCAGGGATAGGCTTGGGGTAACCCCCATGGGCATCACAATGGGCCTCTCCGGCCTCCGAGTGAACTCTTTTTTTTCAGAGCTGCCCGTTTAACCTAACCTAACCTACTGAAAAGACTTTAAATACACTCTAAAAAACTTTGTTTATTTGCGCATATTAAGAGAGGTAACCAGTTTCGTGTAATAAAACTAAACATTGCCTGTTTACTTTTACATACCACATTTGTCGCGAAGAGTAAAATTACACATTAAAAGTTTAAAATAAAGAAAATGTGAGCCCATACTGTTTATTATTAGTAGGAAATGTATTTAGTTTGAAAATTTTTGCAATTTTAAACATTTTATATGTGTATATATGTATATATTTTAAAGATCCTAAGTTCAAAATCAAATCCTGAACATCTTATACGTATATTTATACAGATTCTTGTTGAAAAATAGATACTTTTCAGTAGTAGTTTTACATGCTCTTTGTACAGGTACAAATGTAACATATTAATTACTATTTATTATACTTACTTTGCAAAATACTTATGCACAAAAAATGTTATTTATAAATTGAAATTACAAATGTTTTTGTTTTTTGTTTGATTTTATGAAAAATAAAAATATATATACATTAGCGGTTCAAAAAAATTTTTTTTTGGAAATTCATAAACGCTACCGCAAATTATTATTTGTGATAAAAAAAGAGAGACGTGTTTTTTTTTTATTCAAAAGAAATTTTTTTTTTTATAAAAACGCTGTTCTCAATTTTTTATTTTCTTGACATGTTAAAATTTAGGTAAAAATGTGGTTTTTGCATATAATTACTCTGGTATTATTGGCGAACATTCTCCTAATTACAAACCTGTCTTGGGTAGTTAGAGTGAACCTAAAGCCCGAAAATATGCTCGAAAAGAGACTAATAAAATTGAAACGTTGATACTGAACGATATACGCGTTGTCAAGGGTTGGAACTTGTTATTAGGGGGGTTTCAGGGTTTGCTAATTAGGAATCTGAAGTCAGTTTTTCAAAATTCAAGATGGCGGATCCAAAGTGGCGATTAATGTTTTTAAAAAATTATTGGATTGGTTTGGAAACCCGCACTCTGGAGTTTTTGAGGTCGCCGATTACGAATCTGAAGTCAATTTTTTTTTAATTCAAAATGGCGGATCCAATATGGCGATCGAATTAAAAAAACTATTACTAAAATTAAGGGCGGTATTATCACTTGCGAAGCGAATGAATTTGGCAAAGCGAACGGTTTAACGGACCAACTGTAAAAAAAATTACTGGATTTGTTTGAAACTCTTAATTTGTATCATGCCTCGATTATTGCATCGTGCTTTTCCATGATACAAAAAAGAAGGTGGTTTCAATAAACAACTTTTGACGGATTATAAAATTTTTTGAAGTTTCATAAATTGTGAGCATTCTCAAAGGCCTTGCCACTTTGATAATATTAAAACAATAAATCGGTGCATTTTCTTTCCCACATTTATACCAATTTAATAATACTTCAAACGAAAAATCATTATCAGTGCTTGGTAATTTTTTTACTTACGTGGTTTGCACCTTTTTTATTAAAAATAAATATATAAAATATGTAATGTTAAATGAGACTTCATTGAAATTGTTCTTTTTATTTTATAATAAAAATCACGAGAGCATCATGTTATTTTTTTATTTTCTTATTTTGTATGCAAGGGAAATGTTTAGTAGCGCTCACATCGTTTTTAGGGTGGGGGCGGAGCCGGAGGGGCGGAGACCCTCAAACCCTCCCCACTAGAAAGGGGACAGTCCCCGCATTCTAAAAAGGCGTATTCCCCCCTTGGGCTCCTCCCACAGGCCCCTAGGGAACCGTTTGAAAAAGGGAAAAAAACAGAATTTTCTTAGGCAAACTGAGCAGTTTGAAGTGGAATATGACCCAACTAACAGAAAACGTGGGATTATTTAATAAAAGAAATTATGCCAAATTAGATATCGGGCGATTTTGAATAAAGAATAAAAAAGTTAATTAAAAATAGAAAAAAACAAGTTTTTATAAAAAAAAATGTTCTTTTTAACAAATGTATTTTTGCGTAGAATTCCTTTCCGCGTAGGCGGCCTTCGGCCGCACTTAGTGATTATAACCCTCAGGAAGTAGAATTCTCCTTTCTGTGCTGCCAAAGAAGGGGGGCTGAACACCTTTTGCAGAGAACACCTTTCTACGTAGGCGGCCTTCGGCCGCACTTAGGGATTATAACCCTCAGGCAGTAGAATTCTCCTTTCTGTGC